TGTTACAAATGCAACTCTTTGAAAATCACCCCATGATCTGATTCTCTCTGTGTAAGTTGACTGTGAATTTGCTTTTCAAGTGCATCTAATTTCTTTTGTTTTCTTTTTTTAGGTTTTTGTCTTAGGGTACTTGTGCTCTTGGGAGAGGAGAGAGACAGAGAGATGTAGAGAAAGGGAAAGTGAGAAATCATCTCTCCAGGGGAGATGGCCATGCCGCAATACCTTCTCCTCCATTCTCCAGTCCGGATTTTGGGTACGCACACACAAGTGCCTAGTGTGAGTTTTAAGCCTCCATGTCTGGTACCTGAACCATGGTCAGCCATGTGGGAGTCCAGAACCTTGACTATCATGCCACCTGCTGGCCCCAAATGCTTTAACTTCTAATGTTTAATGCTATGGTCTTCCTGATTGAGTTTCTCCCATTAAATTAACCCCATTTGCTTTTATATTTCCTGGAGTTTCTCAGACTTTCTGGATCTTAATGTTTTACCTAACTGATTTCCAATATTGGCAAAGTAAAGTTCTTTCTTTTTGAAATAATGTTTTCTGTCAAATGCACTGGAATCTTGGGAGATAGGAGAGTAGGTCCATGTGTTCAGTCCAGCATCCTGACGCACCTGTATTGGTTTGTTGTCTTTTCCTAACTTCCTAAAATGAATGCCTAGAGTGTTTCCTACAATATAAACTTTGTTGGGACTGGCAGATGGCATAATGGTTACATTGCTGGACCCCCCACGTAGTGGTTTGAGTCCTGGACCCAGCAGCTTAAAACTCACACCAGGTGCGTGTGTGTGAGTGCCCACAATCCTGAGAGGAGAAGGGACTATGGTGTGGTCATCCCTCCTGGAGGTTGATTTCTTGCTTTCTGTCTTTGTCTCTCTCTCTCTGGAAAGCACATGGGCACCAATGGCAAAATTCTCCCTCTCTCTCTCTCTCCAAAAAAAAAAAAAACTTTATTGAAGTTCTGTTTACAAAAGTATCATATATCCATAGGCATTCTTAATACAGTGTTAATAAAGGAAAAGTTAATGATGTCTTCCTTCCTCTTCTACAGTCACCCTCTTGTGAAAATAATGTCAACATTTTGAATCCCTTCACACATTCCCCCATGCTTATATTAGGGAAGAGTTGTTTTCCTTTTACAAAAATCATATCTTTCTATATATATTATTGCCAGAAGGCATGTACATTCAACAGAAAGAGAGTCTTTATCACATCAGGATTTGGGGCACACCCACCTGGTATGCTTTTCAAGTTTCTAGCCAGGGACTGAAACCAGTTGGCCAAGTAAGATGGCCGTTTGACATATGCACTTGACCACTGTGCTGCAGAGCCAGCCTGAAATATTTTTCAACGACTTGTTCTTCTACTTCTCTATCATGTTTTATGTATTTATTTATTTATTTTTTGGAAAGGTTTTTGCTATAGGGCGGTGCACTCACCAGAAAGACAGAGAGAGATAGACAGAAAGCGAGAAATCACCCACCGGGGGGACTACCATACTGCAATCCCTTCTTCTCCATTCTCCTCTCGGGATCTTGGGCATGCACGCACATATGCCCGATGTGAGTTTAAGCCACCGGGTCCAGGACTTGAACCTCAGGCGGCTACATGGGAGTCCAGTGACACAGCCATTACACTAACTGCTGGTCTCATGTTTTATTTATTTTTTAAAAATTTTCTATTCAGGGAGCCAGCAAGTAGTGTGGTGGTTAAGCACTAGATTCCCACATGGCCAACCATGTGGGAATGTTTCTGGTCTAGTCCTGGACCTGGTGGCTTGAAAATCAAGCCAGACATGTGTGTGTGGGTGCCTCAAATCCTGAGAGGAGAGTGGAGAAGGAATTGTGATGTGACAGTCCTTCTGTAGTTTTTCTAAACATCTCTGTGCATTATGTCTACACCCTGGAGGGTGATTTCTCATTTTCTCTTTCTCTCTCTGGTAAGCACACACACCCTGTGGCAAAAACCTAAAGAAAAAAAAAGAAAAAGAAAAAAATCATTTTATTAAATTCATTTAGTACAATGAACTTTCAAATGTTAGAACTTGAAAACTGTTTTTAAGGGTGATTTTGAAATGAGGCCAGATAGTGTTGTAGTGGTTGGGGTGTGGCTGGGCTCTGCATGGCCATCTGTGCGGTTCAGTCCCCACCCGGGGCCTGAAGAGACACGCCTGGTTCATATGCCCATGTGTCCAAAAATCTCAGAAGGAGAGATGGAAGAGATAGGATTGCAGGGTGATTGTCACAATTAGGGGGGAACAGGGCTGATTGCCATCCCTCCACAAGATCACACAAATGCACTTGCAAATTAGAAAAAAAATTTCTTTTTTAAAATATGTTTTGGAACCAGCAGTTAGCATAATGGCTATGTCGCTGGACGCCTATGTAGTCGACTGAGGTTCAAGTCCTGGACCCGGCGGCTTAAACTCACACCAGGTGCGTGTGCGTGCGTGCCCAAGATCCCGAGAGGAGAATGGAGGAGAAGGGACTGCGGCGTGGCCATCCCCCCTGGGGGGTGATTTCTCTCTTTCTATCTCTCTTTCTGTCTGGTGAGCGCACGCGCCCTAGAGCAAAAACCTATCCAGAAAAAAGAAAAATAAAATTTGCGATAGGGTGTGTGTGCTTGCCAGGGAGAGAGAGAGGGAAAGTGAGAAATGACACCTTCCCTCCTGGGGCGGGGGTGGGGGTGGGGGGTTGGCCACACTGTAATCCCTTCTATACTCCTCTTGAGATTTTGGAAACACACACACACACACACACACACCTGGTATACTTTTCAGGCTACTGGGTCTGGGACTTCAACTGCAAAGTCGGCCATGTGGGAAGTGCCATGCCACCTGCTGGCCCAATAAATAAAAATATTTAAAAGGGAGATTTGGGGAAATTCAAGCGAAATGACCATGAAAACAGGTATGAAAATACAAAATATATTTGAAGAATTCAGGGTTACATACATTTGAAGAGGAACTGCAGCAGGGATTATTGGGAAGGGCACAGGGATAATTAAGAGCCGGTGTGTGAGAGCAGTGGACGACAGCGAAAGTGGGAAACCATTGAAGATTTCGGAATAGGATCACGTTATTAACTGCTTAAGAGTAATGAACTTTAAAACAATTCTAAAGCATTTCTTATAAAAACGGCATTTGTTACATTGTTACTTTAATTAATTTGGTATTTAACTAACCCTTTGGGGCTAAAGGAGATGATGTGTAGGAAAGCGGTTCGAATGACTAGGTGATCTAATGGTCTGGGTAACTCGGCAGTGTGGACGTACACCAGGGTCCTTCTAAAGCCACCCAGCCTCTCGCTGCAATCTTGATTGAAGAATTTAGGGCACGTAAGATTAGGCGGCTAATCATCTGGGTAACATGGGGGAAGAAACACTTCAGCTTCAGAGTCTCATGTAAAATAAGGACTAGGACTGAATTGACTCTAAAATGCCTCCATTTCTTTTTTGAGGGGAGAGTTTTTGCTATAGGGCGCGAGCACTCACCGGACAGACAGAGAGAAATAGGCAGAAAGCGAGAAATCACCCCCTGGGGGGGGATGGCCACGCCGCAATCCCTTCTCCATTCTCCTCTCGGGATCTTGGGCACGCACGCACATGCACCCAGTGTGAGTTTAAGCAATCAGGTCTGGGACTTGAACCATGGTCTACTACATGGGAGTCCAGCGACATAGCCATTACGCCAACTGCTGGTCCCTAAAATGCCTCCATTTCTAAAAACTCAATGGTTCTGTGATTCTGTGATTGTCCCTATGCCCTTACTCGTAGTCCCACTTTCCATGATTTCAGTTACCCACAGTTAACTGCAGTCAAAAAGCAGGTGAGTACAGGACAATAAGATATTCTGAGAGAGGGACCAGCAGGTGGCGTGGTGGTTAAGGTGCTGGACACTCGCACATGGCCAACCAGGGTTCGAGTCCTGAATCTGGTGGCTTGCTTTCTCACTTCCTCTCTCTCTCACTCTCACCCTCTGTGTCTCTCTGGTCAAATTAAAAAATAAATGAATGAATAAATAAAAATAAAGTAAATAATTATAAAAAAAGATATTCTGAGAGAGAGAAAGCCCATAATCACTTAATTTTTACTATAGTAGATTTTTATAATTATTCTCTATTAATATAGCTATTGTTCATCTCATTCTGTGCCTAATTTATAAATTAAACTTTATCATAGGTATGTATGTATAGGAAAAATATAGCATTTGGTATTATCTGGTACTATCTATGGTTTCAGACATCCACTGAGACTTTGTATCCCCCATGGATAAAGGGGAAATTACTGTACAATTGATTTACCACCGAGTGTTTCTTCAAGCAGTTTTAACTATTCATTTAACAATGACATGTTGAGAATCACTGAAAATGCTGTCTCAATATAATATAAACTGCTATTTGTTATCTAAAAGCATTTATAACCATTAGTAATCAGATTACAGGGGCCAGCAGATGGTGTAGCGGTTAGGTCGCTGCACTCCCACATGGCCGACCACAGTTCAAGTCTTGGACACGGTGACTTGAAACTCGTGCCATGTACTTTTGAGTATGTGACCAAGATCCCAGGAGGAAAATGAAGAAGGGATTGCAGCATGACCATCCCCTCAGGGGGGGGGGGATGTGATTTCTCACTTTCTCTCTCACTGTCTCTGTCTGTCTTTCTGATGAGTCCATGTGCCCTAATCAAAAACCTCTAAAAAGAAAAAAAAAAATAGATTACATTTGTTCTGATGATTCTATTTTATATCCACTTTTGCTGCTGCTTGAGTTGCTGTGCATTATTTTGATTTTGCAGATTTAATAGGGTGAATATTACAATACCAAAGGAGCTAGGATAGATAGACAGATTTCTGTGATATTTGGCTAAGTATAATAGTTGTGAGAAAAATACTTAATTAAGTTTTAATATTTTTTATATTCTTGATTGTTGAAAGAATAAAATGATCTTGGGAACTATCTTTCTAAGTTGTCTAAAATTAAAACTTCTTTTTTAACAAGGTGGGTTTTACATGGACAGAATACAGTCCACCACCATCTTTCAGATCAGAATATATTCAAGTTGAACCAAGATATCAGGTGAGTCCTGAGCTATCTTATCCCAATTATGCTTAATTACTAGCATACGTAATTCAGTGGTTTCAAAATTAGGTATTCATTACAAACACATTGCTATCTTAAATACATTAGAAACTTCCAACTCCCACCTTTGCCCTAATAAATCTCAATAAAACTGGGCATCTATATTTCTTAAAAAAAGCCAGCAGTGGTGTGGTGGTAAGGTGCTGGATACCTCCACATGACCCACCACGGTTCAAGTCCCAGACCTGGTGGCTTGCTTTCTCACTTTCTCTTTCTGGTCAAATGAAAATAAATGAATGAATAAATAAAATAAATAATTCTTGTCTGATGAGCGCATGTGCCCTATAGCGAACAACAAAAAAAAAAAAAAAAATCTCAATGGATTTTTTTTTTTTCATTGCCAGAGGATGGATGTGCTTGCCAGAGGTAGGGAGAAGAAAGAAGGAAGCATCCCTAATGGGGTATGGTCACACCATAACCCCCTTTTCTCCATTTTCCCACCCTGTCAGGATTTAGGGCATACACTTATATGAGCTTGAAGTGTTTCTCAAGACCCTGGGCTGAAATTTGAACTGTGGTCAGCCACGTGGGATCTTGCTTCCTTAACCACCAAGCTAAGGGTGAGCCACCTGTGAATTCTTAATCTATCACATGGATATCTATTAACATTTGAAAATGAGATATAATAAATTATACCCAATAAAATGAACTTTGAAATTAAGTTGAAATAAAATAAAACAAATATTGGGACCAGCAGTTGGCATAATGGCTATGTTGCTGGACTCCCATGTAGTTGACCATGGTTCGAGTCCTGGACCATGGTTCGCACCTGGCTTAAACTCATGCCAGGTGCGTGTGCGTGCATGCCCAAGATCCCGAGAGGAGAATGGAGGAGAAGGGATTGCAATGTGACCATCCCCCTTCGGGGGTGATTTCTTGCTTTCTGTCGCTCTCTCTCTGTCTTTCTGGCTAGCACACGTGCCCTATAGCAAAAACCTCCCCCCCCCACCAAAAAAAAATTAAACTGATTATTCCACAATGTGCTTTTTTCATTTGGGTAATTAAGTAGTTGTATGAACAGAGGCTTTGAGTAACAGAGTTCATTTTGAAAGCTATTTCAATAATAGAATAGCCTGATCCCAGAGCCACAAAACTGTCTATGGATATTAATTACACTGCAATTCAGAGGGTGAGTTTTGTTTTTGCCATAGGGTGCGTGAGCTTGCCAGAGAGAAACAGAGAGAGAAAGTGAGAAATCACCCCTCAGAGGGGATGGCCATGCTGCAATCCCTTCTTCATTCTTCTCTCTGGATTTTGGGCATGTACACACACACACACACACACACACACACCTGGTGTGATTTTCAAGTCACCAGCTGGGACTCGAACCACAGCTGCCCAGTGGGAGTCCAGTGCCTTAACCACCATGCCACCTGCTGGCCCCAATTCTAGATTTTTTAAATTCTTTTCTCTTAATCATTTCTGCAAATATAGTATGCATCAAGAAGCAAGATTCTACTATCACATGTTAAGGACTGCGTGACTTGAAGATGCATGGAGACCTAAGAAAATTCATGGAGAAATGGAATTAGAGAACCAGTTTATTTTCATGCAAAAAAGAAAAAAGAAATCCATGCCAATTTTTTTTTCATGTGTATTTTCTATGAATTTTAAAAGGCTCCTCCTAAACTCTGAGTAAAGATTTAAACAATATTTACAACATTTTTCATGAGATATCTACTTGCTTGTCTTGAAAAAACTTTTCCTACATTACTACTAAAATGATAAATTTGGGTCATTGGAAAAGCCTTGATGTATTTTTCAATGTTTTTCTATGCAAAAATGTGTCATGACTTTTTCTACAACCCAATATTTATATGAATAAGCTTCAGATCCTGATGGTAGCTACTGTTTTAGTGAATGTAGTTAATAATGGAAACTGAGTTGTTAAACTGTTTAGGGCAGCTTTTAGGTATCTAAAAATATTACAGACAGCAAAAAGCACTCAGACACAAAATAGTGTCAGAATTAGAAATCTTAACATTTTACATTAAAATCTTATTTTTATTCCACTTTAAAATACTTTAAAGCAGGGACCAGCAGGTGGTATGGTGGTTAAAATCCTACATAGCTAACTGCGTTTAAGCCCCAGACCTGGAAGCTTGAAAATCATGCCAGCATATGTGTGTGCATGCCCAAAATTCCTGGAGGAGAATGGAAGAGAAGGGACTGCGACATGGCCATTCCCCTGGTGTGTGTGTGTGATTTCTCTGTCTTTCTCTGGTGAGCGCATATGCTCTATAGCAAAAACCAAAAAAGATTACATAGATAGATAGATAGATAGATAAGTACATATACACACACGGAGATACATATAGATATATATAGATATATATATACACATAAAATTAAAATTGCTTTTCTACCTTTGTAGAAAGTGAGTGGATGAAGAGGTAAATTGACAGGGTGCTTAGAGAAAATATAGATTTAAAATAAATGTTATAGAGTTTCTTACTTTTTTTTTTTCAATATTGCAATTTCAGAAATTCAACTACAAGGCTGGTTTTGACCCTTTTCTAAGGAATCTGAACAAAACAATGTCAGATAGAAAAAGAAAAGACCAAGATATATACCAGTGTGGAAAGTTTTTAAGTGCAGAGGTTATAGAGCATGAAGACCAAGATCCCCCTTATCCAGCACGATCAACACCTGCAGGCTCTACTGATAAAACCTGGGCCTATGATCCTAATATCATTGCAATAAAGACTTCAGATACTAAAGATAAATCAGCCCGTGAGCCTTCTATCATCACGATAAAGACTTCAGACACTAAGAATAAGTCAGCCCAAGATCCTCCTATCAACCCAATGACGACTTCAGACACCAAGAATAAGTTAGCTGATGTTTCTATTGTCGACACAATAAAGACTTCCGATTCCAAGACTATGTCAGCTAGTGATCCTACTGTTAAAACCACAAAGACTTTAGACCCTAAGAAAAAGTTATCCCATGATCCTGGTACCATCCCAATAAAAAGTTTAGACAATAAGAATGAGTTAAACAAAAAATTACAGAATGCATCTTTACCAAGCTTCAAAAGAGAATCATCAGTGACTGAAAATGTAAATACGTGTTGCCTCTCAAAGTCATTAAATCTCACCTCCCATATAGAAGATTTAAGACAATCAATGGTACTCAAGTCGATTTTAAATAAAAATCTCCAAGACCTTTCAGACAAATTGTTTTCTAAACCGGAAGTTTACATAAACACCGAAGCAACAAAGAAAAGTAGTTCTCCACTTCTAAGCATTCATGATAAACCATCAAGTAGTACGACAGAAGAAGTGTTTGAAAAAATCCAAGATTTAAGCAACTGGCTTTCAGAAAAAGACATTTTAAATTCAAAGTCACTTTTAAGTCAAATCATTAAAAATATTTCTGAAGATTCGCTTTCTAAAGGTCGATCCAAAACATCTCTAGAGAAAGAAGACTATGTCTCTGAAAAACACTTAGAAGCAGATGAGATAGATTTGCCAATGGAAAAAAAGAGTAGTTTCAAAAGGAAGCATTCAGGAAGTGAAGTAGGTAGCTCCAAATCAGGGGTAAATGGCATGGCCAGTGACTACATCATCAAGCAAATATTCACTGCACCGATCTTCTCAAAGTTAGACATGGCACTGAGGCAGTCAAGGGAGACACAGGAGGACTTGCAGGATCCCACACTTTGGGAGAGAAGTTTACCTTCGCATGTGCTAGTTCAATATGAAGAAAAAGACGAAAAAACAGAATTGCCACAGCCTAAATCTGTTGTAAGCCAGATAATACAAGCATTTCCTATAGATACTCTTTTAGAATCTGGGATGATCAAAGTGATAGAATTAAATAAAGAATACCAGGAGAGTTCTTCGCTGGACACAAAGATAGGCTTTCCTGAAGAAAGCCCAGTGTATTCTACTGATGATTACTCAGGAATCAGAAGCAAGACAGAAGCTCTTTCCCAGCAGTATATGCCCATTCCTCAAGAAGCCACATCTTCTGTCAGTAGAATTGAATTTATAGAGGAAGACCAAAATATGTTCCTACAAGATTCAAAATATCATCCAACACCAGGTAAAAACACAGATTTGCCAAGAAACAGACAGAGGCTTGGTGAAGAAGATGATCTAAGTTCTATTTTAGAAAATTTAGGCGCCTCTTTAATGGGTAAACTGAATGAGTCAGATGCGGTTATGTTCAAATCCTTTTTAAAGAACATCTTTAATATTTTTTTCAAATATAATCAGTCAGAAAGAAGACAACCAGAAAAAGAATTAGAAAGCCTTATTAGACATTCTTTTCCTCATGATACAGAACACCTTGAAGAAATCCAAATGGACTTTGATAAGGCAGAAAAATTAGACAGAAAACCTAGTTTGAGTCCAAAGCTGCGTGTTTTTCTGGAAGAACTCTCAGAGTCAGAAGTAAAAAATTTGAAATCTGAATTAAGTAAACACATTCAGCATTATCTTGTAGAAAGACTCTCAGAATCAGGGCATATCTTGAAAGAGGACTTACCAAAAATCTATCAAAATCTCTATTTGATGAATGAGAAAGCAGAACCTAAAGGACAAAGCATTTTTCAGGAGAAATATTCAGAAACTATAAAAGAAATTATGTCTTTTATAAATAATTTTAATCATCACTTCATAGATAAACATTTAGAAATAAAACTAAGATCTTTTTTAAATGACATTCTCCAAAACTATTTCCTAAAAAACCTTTCAAAAAGCAGTTTATTTAATGAGACAGAATCTGAGACTACACACTCAAACATATCTTCTCTAAGAACTAAAAGTTCCTCAATACCTTTTCATGGGTTAGGACAAGATATTTCAAGGGGGAGTTTTGGTGGAAGGCTTGAAATAAACATGAAATATCCTTTAAGTAAATCTCTACAGAATTGTCTTTCAGCTTTATCAGAAAATGAATTATTAAATCTAAAAGCTGATTTAAGCAAACATCTCCAGTGTCTCTTTATAGAAAAACTTTCAAAATCAGGAGTAATGACAGAAAGCCAATTAGAGGGGATCAACCAGCATATACGTTTTCTTAATTCTAGTCCCACACAATTAAAATGTATAAAGACAGATTCAGAATTAAGAGATGAAAATCACTTTATGGAGAAGCATTCAGAAAAGCAAAATAACTATTCAAAAGATTTTCAAAAAAACTCTTTACAAAGGGTTCCTATGGATACACTTATAGAAACAGAATTGATCAGAAATGAAGAAAAGGAATATTTTTCCTTACACAATTTAAAAGAAAATCCATCAGTAATTAGGAAACAGAACACTTACTTCCCAAAAGAAGGACCTAAAACAGTAACTTTAATAAAAGTTCAACCTTCTTCCAACAAAGTTACCCAGGCAATTCCATTCATTAAACCAGTAGAAAGGCTTCCAGGTACACTGCTTAAGAATCAAAGGAGAGACCATGGGTTCGTGCAGCTTTCTTGTGCAGAAAATTCTGTATATAAAACAGAGATACCAGACCCATACAATTGGGGTGGTAAATCAAAAATAACTCAATCAAAGGCTTGCTTTGAAAGGATGCTGAAAATGAAGTCCCTGGAAAAACAGGAGCACATTAACATTTATAAATGGACCGTTCAGGAAAAACCTGAAGCAGTATTATCACCGTGTATAAGAACACAGTATAATTGTACACTGCAGAGGGATGATGAAGAATACTTAAACAGACTCCCTTTCCCTTCCTGGCAGAGTTTACATCCTATCAAATCAGAGATGGGAATGAAACCAAAACTAGAAGACCAGTATTATCAGAGACTGAAAGGAAATAACAACAACAATAAAAAACATTTAGTAACATTTGCACAGTACAAAAAAGAAATGCACACTCCTTCTATAAAACCAAATGAAAATTTCTATGAAAAATGTGCCAGGGTCCCTGAATTGCAGTCATTTAAATATAAAGTTCTAGAAGATGAGAAAAACTCAAAGCCATTCTTCTTCCCAGAAGTACTGACGAGAGAAAATCTAAAATCTAAGATTCGGAAAGAAAGAGACCATGTCCCCAAACCAAAAAAGTCATTTAACAAGATAGTTCGGATCTTACCAACCACACTGCCTGCCACAAGAATCCACCTAAGGAAATCTGTTCCCAAGACATTACTTCACTGGACTGCAAGAAGAACTATACATGTAATCATGATTTTCTGACTTCTACTTCTGTATTTGGCAAAGTTCTGTAAATAATTTACTGTAGGGTGTTTCTGTCTGCATGCAAGTGTGTGTGTGATCTTAATTGCCTCAAGATATATAGAACTTCAAATTTAAAAATTCTTCTAAAATTCAAATATCATCACACCTAATTCAAAATACTGTCACTAAATCAGGGGACTCACACACTTACTGCCTGTGTATGAAAAAGGGCACCCTCTGTGGACCATGAGTTAGAAAATTATTCCCTTTTCTCTGGGCAGATTCTCCAGACTGGTACAGCCTAGAGTCAAGGCTTACAGGCCAGCCTGTGGAAAACTGGCTGGATTTCAGCCCAGACTAGAATTACTCATGGACTATGGAGAGACGCAACCTGTACAACCATTGCCAGTAGCCATATACTCTGAAAATATAACAGATTTGCTTTTCACGGAGATATAACTCTATATAGTTCCTCTTTGTTGGATTTTTTCTTTTAGAAAGCAAATAAAAAGTTCCTACTATGTTCCAATTAATTTGCTAAGAATTAGGGTTATGCACAATTCCTAAGCTATTAGATTATGAGTTGCACAAATTGCATTTAACTTCTGCTCTTTTCTTCTTTTACCACCATCCCTCTGCTATATCTCCTGCTGAGAAATGGGAATTCGAGTCTCTTTTTAATACTAATGTAAAACAGTCAGGAAGGTAAATCTTTTCCTGGATGTTTTATAGATCATTGTAAGGAACAGTGAAAGTCTAGGAATGAAAGGGACTTACTCTAATTTAGGGACCACTGCTCTTCCCTGTTAGTACAGTATAACAGGTATGACCTATAATTGGGAAAATTTGTGAATTCTAAAACGAATATGAAATTGATCATTTGATGTGCATAATTCTTTGAATGAAAAAATAAATCTATTTTCAAGATAGCGACTTTGAATTTGCTTTCAACAGTAAATCATTAGTTTTATAGTGGAGGATAAATATTACTGGATCCTTGGGAAAGTCATGACACATTTTTGCATAGAAAACCTAAAAAATGGGACCAGCAGTTAGCATAATGGCTATGTCGCTGAACTCCCATGTAGTCAACCGCGGTTCGTGTCCCGGACCCAGTGGCTTAAACTCAACGCCAGGCGCGTGTGAGTGCGTGCCCAAGATCCTGAGAGGAGAATGGAGGAGAAGGGATTGCGGTGTGGCCATCCCCCCGGGGGGTGATTTCTTGCTTTCTGCCTCTCTGACTCTCTCTGTCTTTCTGGCGAGCACACGTGCCCTATAGCAAAAACCTCTCAAAAAAAAAAAAAAAAAAAAAAAGAAAACCTAAAAAATTTGTCATGACTTTCCCAGCAACCCAATCTATACTGTAAATTATATATAGTCTATATTATGTAGCTAAGGGTTCACAAATCTATACTGTAAATTATATATAGTCTATATATATATAGTCTTCCCTTACCTGTGGGATATACGTCCTAGGACCCCAGATGGATACCTGACAGTGCCACACCCTTTATATCCCTATATACCCCCCCCCATCTGGCAGCCCAGCTGCCTACTAAGTGCGGGTAGCGTAGACAGCATGGATATGCCCTGAGTGGGAATGGCATAGCACAGTGTGAGGTTTTTATCATGTCGTTCAGAATGATGCACAATTTAAAATTTAGGAATTGTTTCTGGGATTTTCCATTTAATATTTTCAGACTGTAGTTGACTACGAGTAGCTGAAAGCTCAGAAAGCAAAACTACAGATGAGGGGAAACTACTGTATCAGCAACGTAGGGGCAGGGTAAGCAGCATATAGCTTATACTCTCAGGGTTATTTTTTTTTTATATAAAAATTCATCTATTTAGGATTGGGTGTGTATGTGTACGTGTATGTTCTTGTACACATGTATGTGTGTATGTATGTGTCTGTACATACCAGGAAAAGGACGTAGAACATGAGATCATAGTTGTTGGAGAGAAAAGACTTTCTAAAGTTCCTTTAGACGAATAAATCTTTATGTCATTTTTTCAAATGAAATAAACTGTGTTTATGTTGAATGGTGTAAGATCATGTAGAATCTCAGAACCTTTATCCTAAAAGCAGGCAAGGGAGCTAGAGTTATTTTTATTTCCTTCTGTCAAACAAAGTATTCCTAAGCTTGTCTCCTAGTAACGTTGACAGAAAGAGAACTGAGTGGTAAGAGGGCATTTGTCCACTGATTAGAAAGACATATCTTATTTTTTAAAATCTAGGAATCCATTGAAGGAATCAAAATAGGAGAGAGAAATCGAGTTGCAGGAGCACCCAGAAAAGTAACCGTGCTTCCCCTGGCTCTCCAGTAATCAATTATATCAGCTGCAAAGAAAAACTATTACTCAGGCAGCAGAAAGTCCCTTACAGATGCGGTTCGCCTAGTCATTCCAAGGACTGGAAAGGGAAGAGGAAGAATGTTTCCTTGCTTACCTGAAATCCAGACAGAAATGTAAAGTAGGCAGAATTGGTCTTTAGGCTTGACACCTTCTTTTTCGTACCTCTTATCTTTCTGGCTGCTCTAATTCTTATCAGTCCTACCCATCCTTCTCCTGTCCTATTAATCCACTCCCTCCTTGTCTCCAAATCAAAGCAGCCCATTCCTCTGGGACGCCTATCTCTGCGAGGAGGTAAGGAATAACTGCTGGAACAGCTGAGGGAACCAGCTTACGAGAATCTGAGAAGAACTAACAGCTTCATACCCTTGTAGGCGTTCTTGTACATTGTTATATTTAAATGATAAAACAGAGCCACGTTGCAGGAAGTTTGAGGAAAATTACCTTTCCTTTATTATTTTAGTGTATATTCTTCCAATTCTTTTTCCAAATATTTTACTTTACTTTTATATACATACTCTCAGAATGTATATAAAAATGTTTTTATGGTTAAAAAAGATGGTTTAAATATTACAACCATATTCTTGGCTACTGCTCTTCCGCTCTCTCCATGTGTATATATACTAAAGGTGTTTATTGAATTAACTTTTAAAGAATGAATGATCAAAGTTTGGATGATATGAAAATAAAATACAAAACATTTGTGATTTATATTTGGGGCTGGCAGGGAGTATTTTGGTGGAGAATTACCAAGTAGGCTGGCCAGCTTAGCCTAGGAGTCTGACCTCTGAGGACAGCCCTTGTAAGTTTTTCTGGCTTCCAGCTCCATATCGTCCATCTATTTTGAAATAACAGATCATTTGAAACAGTAAGGTTTGTTTGTTTAATAGTTTACTATAGGGCGAGTGCACTTACCAGAGAAAGAGAAAGAGAAAGAAGAGAAAGAGAAAGAGAAGGAGAAAGAGAGAGAGAAAGTGAAAAATCACCCCCCAGGGGGATGGCCATGCCTCAATCCCTTTTCCTCCATTCTCCTCTCAGGATTTTGAGCACACATGCACATGTGTCCAGGGTTTTCCAAGCTGCCAAAGACTGAGACTTGAACCATGCGGTAGGCCATGTACCCAGGTACCTTAACCATCATGTCACCTGGTGTCCCCAGAAACAATAAGATTTTTTTTTTAAGGCATGGTTTCTTTCTTTCTTTCTTTTTCTTTTTTCTTTCCTTTCCTTTCCTTTCCTTTCCTTTCCTTTCCTTTCCTTTCCTTTCCTTTCCTTTCCTTTTTCTTTCTTTCTTTCTTTCTTTCTTTCTTTCTTTCTTTTTTCTTTCTTTCTTTCTTTCTTTCTTTCTTTCTTTTCTTTCTTTCTTTTTTTTTTTTTTGGAGAGGTTCTTGCTATAGGGTGCGCGCGTTTGCCAGAAAGAGAAAGAGACAGTCAGAAAGCGAGAAATCACCCCTCAGGGGGGATGGCCACACCACAACCCCTTCTCCATTCTCCTCTCAGGATCTTGGGCACATACGCACACGTGCCCAGTGTGAGTTTAAGCCACCAGGTCCAGGATTCGAGCTGTGGTCGACTACATGGGAGTCCAGCAACATAGCCATAATACCATCTGCTGGTCCCCCGAGGCATGGTTTCTAAGGGTAGTATCTAATGGGAGGCATTGGGTGTAAGATCTGAATTTGTGGACTGCCTAAGACACATTTGATACTTTCATTCTTTGTTGTCAGTACAAATTTCAGTCCTTGTAAACTTTAAATGTACTTTTAAAAATCTAACGTACTAATCTGATCTTTTATTTTAATGTTTAGGATTGTTCAGATAAATTCGAGGAATTTCCAGTGACTTCATTTAAACAGCTTAAGAAAGTAAAATCAAGAGCAAAGATGTTAGGAAAGAATGCAGATGATAGCTATAATCAGACAAAGCACTCCATGAGACCATACACCGCTCCAGAGGTGAACAAACGACGAGAGAGCGCCACTGGAAAGCTTGCGAGTCCTCGCATGGTTTCAGCAGGCTTAGTTCATGTCAGTGACACAAACTCAGATTATGACATGCGTAAAATGCGGCCCCCAAAAAGATTAAAAGAGGATATGGAAAACCGTACGCTCGTTTGTGATATTATCCAAATGTTAAACCATGCAGAATGATGTGTGAGACCGACAGTCAGATTACCCTTTCTCCACTGACAAAATGGTTTAGAGATCTGTCCTTCCGTGTGATAGAAGTCAGTAACCAAGTTTCATCTTGTCAAAACCATCTTGTTTTGATTAAAAGGAAAAATAAACACATTTGATGTAAACGTGTTCTTGTTTATGAATCCTGGGGCACACACCCAGGAGCACATATTCAATTTAAATTCGTTAGCGGTTTTGTCCACCGGATTTTCTCTCTCTATATCACTCCAATTCTGATTTCTTTTTAAAAAAAAATAATTATTTTATTTTATTTATTCATTCATTTATTTTTTAAATTTGACCAGAGGGAGAGAGAAAGAAAGAAAGAGAGAGAGAAATGTGAGAAAGCAAGTCACCAGGTCCAGGACTTGAACTGTGGTCAGCCATGTGGGAGTGTCCAGCACCTTAACCACCAAACCACCTGCTGATCCCCTCCAATTCCTATTTCTGACTTTCCCATTTTGTTATGCTCTATAACTGCTCACTCCGTTTTCAGGTTTGTTACTTGCAGTTATATCAGTTTTACCCTTTTGATATGAATATACTTTTACTCTTTAGTTCTAGTTATGTTTCTAGATTTAACAGTTCACAACTCTGGACCTATTTTTTTTTTCTTTGAGTTTTTGCCACACAACATATGTACTAGCTGGAAAGAGATGGAGAGAGAAAAACTGAGAAGCCGCCCTCCGGGGGGATGGCCATGCTGCAAACCCTTCTTCATTCTCCTCTTGGGGTCTTTTGGCACACATGAGCACTTGCCTGGTGTGATTTTCAAGCAGCCAGGTCCAGGACTCAGACAATGGTCGGCCACGTGGGAGTCAGTACCTCAACCACCACACTACCTATTGACCCCAGAACTTTTATTAATATTTTAAAGAATGATTTAACTTTATTATTTTTTAACTTACTATATAGCATGTGTGTGCTCACCAGAGAGAGACAGGAAGAGAGAGAAAATGAGAAAACAAGCTGTCAGGTCCAGGCCTCAAGCTGTGGCTAGCCATGTGGTAATCAAACGCCTTAGCCACCACACCACCTGCCAGCCCAAATTTTGTATCTTTTTAATTCATCATGTTTGTGGTAATTTGTCACAACAGCTTTAGGAAACTAATACCATATACAAAAGATTTTTGGGGTGGGCAGAGTCTGAGGGAAAATGGGGAGGTAGTTGGAGATAGTTGAAAGAGCTATCAAGCATGTTGAATTGGCCTAAATCAGCCCCTGTACTTGGGTGATAAAATGTGGCCCAAAGTAGTCCCTGTATGTACTGAACTGAGCCTAGAGTGTACCCTGGTAACCAAGTAACTGAGCTTCAGCCTATGAAAGGCTACCAACTGATCAGACCATAACCATATAAGGCAAATGTCAACTGCAGCCAATCAGGTTGGCTTTGTATGTCACTTCCATCTCTCTGGCTATATATTATATAACTGTATTTGTGGTGGGGTGAAGTTCTGAGCTTCAGTTGAAACTCAGTTCTAGAACCTGTCCTTTGCTCATGTTAAATTAAACGGGTCTCAGATTTTTCTCAGTTTATTCACTCATTTCTTCCATGAGTGAGAGAGACAGCCGCCCTCCCAGCTAGGTCTTGACATAGAAAACAACCCAGCCTCAGCCAGTTCCAGGCCATGGGCATGCACAGCAGAATCAAAGTCCCCATACACAGAACCTTCCCATGTGGGTGAGTCCCACAGGCTGTTATCTTTTACTGCTGTGCCACTGTTTGGTCCCCTGGTCTCTCATTTTTTATTTTTTAGATTGTTTTCCTGAAACTGCTATGGAACAAGTGGGAGAAGAAGTGAAACAGAAGTGCCTTAGACTGCAGTGTCATTCTAGGTACATTTCAGCAGGGCTAATTGTGGAGTCCTCAAGCCAAAGTCATTCATCACTAAAGGCCTTTGGGCCTGACTTGCTATCTCTGCTATCCTAGCCCTGGGGGTTAAGGTGAGGCAACTATGGTAGGCAGAGTAATGTTTCCCCCCAAAATGCCCAGACCCTGTGAATATGTGAGATTACATAGCTAAGGGGAGTTAGGACTACAGATAGAATTAAGGCACTTAACTCATTGTGGACAGATTATCCTGGATTATCTGGCTACATCTCATGTAATCATGAGGGTCCTTAAAAAGTAGAAGATAGAATAAAAAGAGAAAACCAGAAAAATGGCAGTGTAAAAAGGTCTCATCCCAACGTTGCTGACTTGGAAGGTGGACAAAGAGCCACCAGTCAAGGAATGCAGATTGCCTCTGAAAGCTGGAAAGGATAGGAAAACGGATTCCTTTCTAGAGTCTC